TGTTGGGACCATGAAAATCTATTAATTTATAGAGGTATTAATTTATCGATAAATTAATAATTATTAATTTATAGAGAGATATTCCTAATTTGGAACATATTTTCAAAACAATATTTAAAAATAAGATTTAATCATGATAATTAGTATTTTATATAATCAATTACAAATAAAACAATAATTATTATGTATTAAAAGAGAATGCTAACTATATTTCATATAGTAAAATATTATAAATAAAATCTAACAAAAACTAATGTGTCTATATATACATATATTTTGAAAAATTTATCTAATTATTAATTTATAATATTGATGGGACCATATATTTACAAAGGATTTTCAAAAAATTTATTATCTTATTATTTTATCGAAATGTGTCTAAAATTATACTGGTCCCAAGTTGGGATCGGAAAAATTTATTAATTTATAGAGATCATTAATTTATCGAGTATTAATTTATAGAGGTTTTACTGTATATGATTATTTACTCGCTTTTTCTTTATTATTTTATTTAAACTTATTATACAAATATATGATTTACTGTAATCGACTGTATTATAACAAAATTAAAATGTAACATATTTTAATTCGTTAAAAGTTATATATATGTAATTATTTCCCACGCGGTGTAGCGCGGATCCGAAACTAGTTATTACGTTATTCAAAGAGTTACATATATCATCTCTATAGTCAATTTGAAGAAACGATACACACTATAGTAAATAATGTATTAATTTTAAGATTGATGTGACTAATTTCGCTTAGTCATGATGATCACTATGAGTCTATGACAACTGAGAGCATGCAAATGTTGTCCTCTCCACCGTAAATTGCTTCGTTCTTAAGTTTCCAATCTTTCTTAAGTGAATTAATATCTCGTAAACCAAAAATACACAAAATGAAAAGAAAAAAAAAAACCATTTTTTAATATGATTAGTGTATTACTTAGAATTTTAGTTATGCATACAAAGTGCTAGTATGTTTAATTATAAAAAGAAAAACCCTAATATTTTCCTTGGAAAATGTTGAAATCACATATTATATTCCTTCCCAAGTACTGTGTTTGGACCTTTCACCTTCTTCCTCTCCTTTTTAAGTAGAGAGACCAAACTGAATAGCCAGATTTTTCCTGTTGTCTTCGTTTGGCTTTGCTTCTATACAACGAACTGCTTCCCACTTAATCATCACACTCTTTTCTGATTGCCTTGTAAGCTAAAGTTACGTTTCTATATAGCTATGAGCCTATGACTCGTACTATGAAGTAAGAATCTAACACAGCATTTTCTTTGTTTCTTATGTTGCAGAAAGATTCTGTGAGACATGGAGAGGAATAAGAAGAAAAGTCTTGTTAACCAAATCTTCTCTTGGTCCATCAATTATATTCTCAACAAAGATAACAACAAGGAAGAGATCAAGCCGGTTCCAGACAAGTTTTTTTCCGTTGATGAATACCTTAACAGCTTTGTTCCTCTTGTACTAGAGGAAACACGTACAGAGCTGTTCTCAAGCTTGAACTCTTTGAACAAAGCTCCTCTCTTTTACATACGTTCCGTGGAGGCTACGGGAATCAAACCCCCGAGTAGAGCATCAAACAAGGTTAATATATCAGCAGTGATGCATGTTGTGCAAGGAAACAGTACAGAGTACAAGCCAAAACGTGGAGATCTCATTGCTCTCACAAAAGCAAAAAGGCCAAGACGTGTCGATGACTTAAACCCACTGATTATTGCGTATGTGTTCTCTGTTGAAGATGATGAGCTACATTTCACTGTTCATTCCTCCAAAACCATATCCATTGATGAGAGATACTCGTTTCGTTCCGGTGTTTTTCTAATGAATCTGACCACGAACACTCGTATCTGGAAGGCTTTGCACAATAGAGATGCTAACTTGAGTCTCATCAAGAGTGTTCTTCAAGCAAATAATGCTGTAAGTAACGTGATATGATCCTGATTTAACTTCTAATATATGTGTTGTATACTGTTGTGTAACTGTGGTTTTTTCTTGTATATATTTCAGGATACAGAGCAACCTGTTTCTTCTATGAATTTTGGAAATGATGTATTGGATATCATGCGTTCATCGAACTTGAACTCTTCTCAAGAATCTGCAATCTTGGCTTGCCTTGAGACAAGACAAATCCATGACAAGACTAGTAGTGTGAAACTGATATGGGGGCCTCCTGGTACTGGGAAGACAAAGACAGTGGCTACTCTACTCTTTGCTCTTCTTAACCAAGGTTGCAAAACAGTAGTGTGTGCTCCTACAAACACGGCTGTGGTAGGAGTTGCAACAAGGCTCTTGGCGTTAGTTAAGGAATCTTCTTCATTAGAAGATTCTACTTACGGGCTTGGGGATATTGTTTTAGTTGGCAACCGAGTCAGGATGGGGATAGACGACAGGGGCAATGATGATCTCCTCAACGTGTTTCTTGATCACCGCATCAGTATACTGCGTGAACTGTTTTCGCCATTGACGAGATGGGAACGGAGTTTGGAGTCAGTCATAGATGTTCTTGAAAATACAGTCTCTAATTATAAGAGATATATGTTGCTAAGTGAAAGAAGTGAGAAGCAAGAAAGTAAAAGTCTTCTTACAACATTTAATGAGTTTGTAAAGAAAATTTTTCTTGGCTCAAATGTAGGATTGGATAAGGAAGAAGCTCTAAAGAAAGAAAAGATTATAACATTTGGGGAGTTTGTGAAGCAAAAGTTTGATGAGTTAAGTGAAACAATGGAGAAGATCCACACGGATATGGTGTATTTGTACACACATCTTCCTAAGTCTTTTATATCATCTAACGATGTCAAGAATATGATCGCTACCCGTAAAACTCTTCGCCGAGCCAGAGATTTCCTGCAGGAGAATCATGGAAGCTTGACATTTGATTGCTTTAACAAACTCATCCCTGTTGATTGCCTTCAGACTCTACGTTTTCTATCAAAACGTTTTGAGTATCCAGGCTTGTTAATAAACGATGATGTAAGGAGGTTCTGCCTACAAAATGCGCACATAATCTTCTGCACTGCCTCGGGTGCTGCAGAGATGACCGCGGAACAAACAGGTGCTATAGAACTACTTGTAGTTGATGAGGCGGCTCAACTTAAAGAATGTGAATCAGTTGCTGCGTTGCAACTCGAGGGCTTGCGTCATGCTGTTCTCATAGGAGATGAGCTTCAGCTTCCAGCAATGGTGCAAAGCGAGGTACTCTCTTTTGCTTATTAATCTACTTGTATTTGACATTGTAGGACTTGTGTTTGAAAAATAGTGTTCTTGTATGCTCAGGTATGTGAGAAGGCCAAGTTTGGAAGAAGCTTGTTTGAGAGATTGGTTTTGATTGGCCACAAGAAACATTTGCTTAATGTTCAATACCGTATGCATCCCTCTATAAGTCGTTTCCCCAACATGGAGTTTTATGATGGTAAGATCTCTGATGCTGACATTGTTAAAGACAAGAACTACCAAAAGAGATTTCTTCAAGGGAACATGTTTGGTTCTTTCTCTTTTATCAACGTGGGACTTGGGAAAGAGGAGTTTGGTGATGGACATAGTCCTAAGAACATGGTTGAAGTTGCAGTGGTATCTGAGATCTTATCCACTCTTTTCAAAGGTAAAGTATTTGTATATTAGTACACTACACAACACTACACTAATACTTGTTAATTAGCCTAATTTGTAATTAAAACAGTGTCACATGAGACAAAGACAAAGATGAGTGTTGGGGTTATCTCACCTTATAAAGGTCAAATTAAAGCAATACAAGAGAGACTCGGTAATAAGTACAGTTCCGTGTCAGATAACCTGTTCACTTTGAATATTCGGTCGGTTGATGGGTTTCAAGGAGGGGAAGAAGACATTATTATCATATCAACCGTCAGAAGCAACGGTAATGGAAACATAGGGTTTCTCTCTAACCGTCAAAGAGCCAACGTAGCACTGACTCGTGCAAGGCATTGTTTATGGGTACTTGGGAACGAGAGAACTCTGGTGCTGAGTGGTTCGATTTGGACAAAGCTCGTGAGGGATTCGAAGATACGTGGATGTTTCTATGATGCTGCTGATGAGAAGAATTTAAGAGATGCCATGAACAATGCTCTTCCCAAGGTCGACATGTCTGATGTGTATTCGAGTTTTGGATCTCTTTCAATCAGGAGAGAAAGAATAAATGCTCGTTAGCTCCTTTACCAAGGTATCTGGATGGTTTTTTTTCTTCTTCTTTTTGTGGCTTCGGTGTATATGGATGGTTTCGATATCTAGTGAGCTGTCACAGCTCAGCTGTGTATCAGCATATGCTATGAATCTCTTTCCTGCTAAACAAGTAACTAATGTACGTATTCTGTTATTATGAATCTTTTTCTTGCTAAACAAGTAACTAATGTACCTATTATGTACAAAGATCAATGTTCACTTAGTATATACATTTTCATTTTTGAACTCCTGTTGCATCACTTTTGTCTAAAGCACAGTAGCCGGTGGCTTAGGTTAGGTTCCTATGACTACGGTCCAATCAGGCTACTTAAAAGCCTCTAAATAGGAGTCATTTTTTTTTCCTAAGCATCATTATTGCTTCCTCTGATTCTCCGACGAATCTTAAGCATGATATTTGGGAGAAAAAAAGTAGTAAAACACAATTAACACAAACACAAATGCAAACCTAAACAAACAATAAAAACGTAATGTTACATAACTTGCATACATATAAAACCCAAACTTTATTGTTCCAACTCTGAATTGAACCCCAAACGAGTCTTTTTTAGTGAGGAAATTGTTTTTTACAAGACCAACAAAGGTCTCTAATGGACTCGTGATAATATTGGAACTTCTTCTTTTCATAAAACTTTATTTGGTTGAAAACTAATTAAACGACCTCTACTTACTTGTTTCCCTGATTGCATTTTTCTTAAGCTATTCTTGACTCGATATTGGTTTAGAGTCTTGAGGGCATTCCTCCAGCAACAACCAAGGTTTCACCGGTGATGTAAGAAGAATCATCTGATGCTAAGAAAGCCGCAGCAGCAGCCATATCTCCAGTTGTTCCCAACCTGTTAAGCAGAGTCTTCTCTTCGATGCTTCCCCTCTAGGCATATCCACAAGTGTACTATTATTATTATTATTACATCATTTGAGATACAATCATAACCTCAGTGTAAAAGTTTTAATTTTGAAACATTACCACTTCGGCGTTTTCGGTAATGAAAGAAGCAAAGTGTGTGGGCACAAAACCGGGTGCAATTGCGTTCACACGTGTGTCTGGTCCCATCTCAGCAGCAAGTGCCTGAGACATGATGTTCAGTGCAATAAATCATAATAAACATCATCCAGTCATGAGATGGAGACACTACTACATACCTTCACTAGGCCAAGAAGAGCCGTCTTAGTGACCCCATACATAGCCATGGATCCTTGTGGTTGAAATCCAGTAATGGAAGTTATGAAGATAACCGACGAACCCTTCTCTAGGTGAGGAGCCATATCCTGGCAAAATGAACACAAGAAAGGTCAACTCAAAATCAAAAGTTGATCTATTTGGCTATGGAAAGAGAGAGCTAATACTTAAATATGTTGTGAATATTGTAAACTAATGAAACTTAAAGAAGGAAAGCTTTACCTGAAGGAGAAGTATAGATGATTTGACATTGATTTCCCATAGCTTGTCGAGGACAGTTTCTTTGGTGGACAAGATCGGGTCTGTAGATGGATTGGCAGCAGCGTTAGAGACCACAATATCTATCTTCCCATATTTCTGAAACCAAAATCCAATAAAAATGTAACTAAAACACAGAAGACACTGTAAATCTCTCTCAAAGTAAATCAAAATCGCGCGAAGTATTCGAAAGTGTGGTAAAGTGCGAGCTTGAAGCACAAGACCGATCAACAAAAAAAACAAACAATATTTTGATGATGTAAAGTTTATCCATGATCAATTTGCTTTGAACGTAAAGCTCACAGATTAGTTTACCTGAACAGTCTTTTCGACAAGATTCCGGCGATGTTGAGCATTGGAAACATGACAAACGATTCCATAAGCATCAATCCCTTTGGATTTGAGTTTCTCTACCGCCTCGTCAACATTTGCCTGCACATATATAATCAAAATCAACACTTTTGTTCAACCAAAATTAGCTAAACAAAGCTACGAGTGTACCCAAAAAAAACACACAAGTTCTGCTTCGCTAATCAGAATCACAGATTCTTAAACTTGAACTCAAGAACACAGTAGCAAAATTAGATTCATCATCGATTTTGGGATAATTGCAAAATCAGTAACAAACCAAAATCAAAATTTTCAAACAATTCTAAGCTAATAGTGAAAATTGCAAAAATCAAAATCCCAATAAAACAAAAAGCAACCTAATTAAAGGAAGCACAAATACAAAGATCCGTCACTAAGAGAACATCGATAAAATCTTCAAATTCCGGAGAGATTGTGAAACCTGTTTGCGGGAAGAGACGACGACGGAAGCGCCTTCGAGACCGAAACGCTCAATGATTCCGAAGCCAATCCCTTGCGTCGAAGCCGTCACAATCGCGACTTTACCTTCCAATCTTTTCGGTAGCTTCTTCTCCATTTCAATCTTTTCTCAATAATTTGATTGTCTTGTTTCTCTCTCTGAGTCTCTGAGTCTCTGAGTCTCTGAGCGATGAGTGTGTTCAGCGTTTAAAGCGTTTTCTTTAAGCGTTTCAATTATTGATTGCGAGATTGCGTTTAAAACGTTTAAACAACAAGTGCGTTTGAGGTTAATATTAATGAGATTGAAGACCAAATTAGAGAGTATTCGATTTCTGTTACCATAGTGACGCAATAAAAATATTTTACCAAAAGTAGTATGTGTAAAAAGGAAATCATATCCATTAGGTGATATGTTCCACATATATATGAATCAAGAAAATGAGGTTAATAATGTGATTTTAATTAAAAGATCCCAACACAACTCTTTGAGCTAAGCCATATTTCAAAAAAATAAAAATTTCGAGGATGTCAAAATATAAAAAAGAACTGGAAAAATCAAGAAAATGGAAAAGATAGAAAAAGGAAATTATTGAGAAGAAAAGGAAAAAATGAAAAATATGGAAAAGTGTATCAATTTACTTTTTTTTTGAATCACACAACTTTATAAATAAAGGTCTTGCGTTAGAGGTAAATCATAATATCAAAGAGAACCACAACAGCACTAAAGAGAGACGAGAGAGACACAGAAATAATTAGTAAAACCAACTTTGTTCTGCTAATGGCAACTGTTACGGAACCTATTTGTGCCAACAAAAGCGTCGATGGAATTAGCATTGACCCTGAGCCTAATGGAACCTTCGATAGATTGGTCTGTGAGATCGAGTCTTTTGAAAAGAAGCTCAAAGCCTTTTCAAAGCTTCTCCAGTCATGTCCTGAGATGGACAGTGATCATGAAGAAGAAGATCATAGTCATATATGTACCTGTGATGAGCTATACTTGAATGATGAGTCTGATGATGAGTTTAACCAAGAACTTGATCAGTTTATGATGAATTCGATGGGTCTGGCTGAGAGTTTCCTATATGATGTGATCAACAACCCCAAAACCGAAGTTAAGGAAGATATTATGAATCTAGTTTCAGTTTTTGAAACGGACATAATCAATGAGATTGAATCGCCTCGCTCCGCAATATCCCGTGTCGAAAGGTACAGCCAAAGTCGTAGAGAAGTTGAACAAGAGCTTGCACGAGAGAAGGCTGCGATAAAGAGAGTTAGTGTTGTTGGTAGTTCAGCTACAAGATCGAAAGTTCAAAACTGCAGAAAGGCCTTTGACATTGGAGAAGCAAAGGTTAGAAGCAATGAAGTTAGATGAGCGGATGCATCTCCAGGAACCTTAAGGAAGAACTATGGAGACGAGTCTCTTGTTGGCGACTTTACTGATGAGTTTGATCAGCATTACCAAAGGAACAATGATTACATAGACTAGTAATATTCAGAAGAGCACAAAACATAAGAATCCAAATATTTAACATGTTTCTACTGATTATGATAGACTCTTTCAAGCTTGATCATAAGATGTTTTTTTTTCTTTTCTAAATACGAGCATTATTGTTTTAATCATAAGGATTTCTGAATTTCTTCAAGAGATCTGGAATATCGTATCCGAGCATATCATCCACTGCTTGAATCATCTTAGGCTTCAGTTTCTCGAATTTGTCAATGTTATAGCCTCCCAATACTTCTCTAAAATGCTCCACACTTGGGAAATCTCCAGCTGGAAGATGATACTCTCGCTGCACCTGTTTTGTGAAAAAAAAACATGTAAAAAAACGAGATAAAAATCATGATCTACAATTTTTGCATCAATAAATCTATTTTGGTCACTAGAGAGCTATGAGTGTATGACTAATCTAAATTCTGGTTTGGCTTATAGTCAGATACTTGCGTACTAAACCAAATTTAATTCCACAAGTGTCGTCAGAACTTTGGTTCAATTTATTAACCCCTATCAGGCTACACCTAATGCGTTTACTCTTTGGAGCAAAGAAAAAGTTTACTAACCTTTCCAAATTCTTCTTCGAGATTGTCCATAAGACGTTGCTGAGCTTTGGATTTTCCCATCATTGCAGGCATTTCCTTCTTAAGGTGACTCATTATGTATGCATTGATCTTTGCAGCTCGAGCTCGCTTCACAAACTCGTTAATCTGCAATGAATAACAAAGGAAGTATTAGTTTTCAACCTCGCAAATCCTGAATTTAAGTACATGTTTAAACTGAGACTCATCAAAATCATACCTTTCTGTCACATGCTTTCTTAGGTATGTCCATTAAGTCTGCTAGAAGATCATTTTGCTCTTTCTCAAAGAGTTCTTTTCCAATTGGTCCAACTGCAGCTTCGTTAATGGGTTTGTCATTGAAGGACCTGCACAAGTAAAGCAAACACAAATTAATCTATTGCGTAAACATATGAAACTAATGGCTTAAATTCATTTTAACAAATAATGAAATCAAAATAACCAATGGTGTATTTGAAGGCATACCCAATATAGACACGTACGACCTCTGGTGTATTCAAGACTTTACCGAGTGACCACATCAGTGCTCCATAAACTCTCATTAGCTAAGAAAAAAAGATTTTAGACCAACTATGAAACAAGTAAAAAATGAAGCTTATAAATGGATGGAAATGGGTTTTTACTTGTTGAGTGTCAACTTGGTCAGCCTTGTTTAAGACAACGCGAATCTTGTCTTCGTTACCACGCAGAGATGTTATCACCCGTTTAAATTCATCACTGATGTCAAGCTTGTGGGGATCAAAGAGAAGGAGAATCATATCACATTTAGATGCAAACCATGAGATGACACCAGTGAAGTCATAGCTCCGTTGCATCCTTTGTTTCTCTCCTGAAAGAACTCCAGGAGTATCTACAAGAGTAATTTGGTCCAAGACCTACAACAAAAACAGGAAGACAAAGGTCATATAAACCACCAGAGGGAAAGATCAAAAAGAGACAGTGAGATAATGCTTAGCACTCACAGGATGCGGCATTTGAGAACACTCAAACTTTGAGAGGAAGGCACCTCCAAAACTTGTTAGTCCGTTAAATGGCATGTCAGCTTGAACAGCCATGGTGTTTCCAGGTATAGTTCGTTCATCTGGTCCACTCTATAAGAAAGACAAATTCATAAGAATTACTTAGATGAATACAACAAGTAAATAGCAACCATTTAAGTACCATAAAATCAGGACACATTGACATACCATTGCAACCACAAACCTATCTGTTGTTGGCTCTGGACCAATGTGAGCTCCTGATAAAAAGAGGACAATGGTGTAAATCAGAAAATATAATTGAAGATTCATTATACTGCTATGAGTTTAAGGAAAGAGAACACGGTACCTGGATAGTCACATCCGAGCAAGTGTTTTATAAATGTTGTTTTTCCAGTGGAATATTGACCCAAAAGCATAACCATTGGTTTGGCGTCAAAGTCACTATTAGTCTGCAAGTCAACAAAAATAGTCATCAAAAGAACAAACTGAGAATTATTTTTCAGGGTGATATAGATATAAGTTCTGTAACTCTCAACTAGAAATATGGAATAGACAAAAGCCTCACAAGTGTTTCTGGAATGGTAAGGATAACATAAGTTAACTCACCAGTACAGGAGATGCAAAATCATTGAAACGATATGTGACTTCCAAAGGCTTTAGCTTTTCAGTGTACAATCTTTTCAAGCCATCAACAATTGTCACCACATTTACTTGTGGCTGGTCATGCAAAATAGCAGATTACTTGTTAGATCAGACCACAAAGCAAATATTTGATGGAACATTCGCAGCAACAAAGCAAATTATTATCTCACCTTAATAATAGATTTTGATTTGTACCAAGGAGCTTTTGCTGTGACTTGTGGCTGAGTAACTACTGCAAGTTTATCCAGCAAATCAACAAACTTTACATAATGAAAACGTAAGAAACGAATGAAGAAAAAGAAAAATTGTTGTTTAACCATCATCTTCAACATCCACATGTGTTTTTGACGCTTTTTGCTTCTGTAAACAAAACAAATTAAGACAAATCCTTAGATTAGTAAATCATGTAAAGACCTTAAAAACGAAATCAGGTAAGAAGATGTCTTACAGATACCACGTTTTCCAGACCTTCCAACACAGGAAGTTCCACACTCTTCATGTCAACTATAACAAAAGAAAATTACAGATGTCTTAAAGATTAGCCAATTTCTGATTCAAACAAATCCAATCTAATTGCAATATCTAATAAGATTACAGATGATGCTATATTTTCTTTGACCATCAAGCTCTTGATTCAAAAAAATCTAAGATCTAATTCTCCACTTACCAGAACCTTTCAGAAGATCTGAAGTAATTTCATGTCCTTCTTGGGCCAATGAGACAAGCTGCGCAAACAAAATAGTCAAATAAGGGAAAAAAATTAACAATTAGACTTCAAATTGACTCAGTAATCATACCTTCATCGCAGTGATGAACTCTGCCAAACCGAGAAATCCCTGTCGCTTCGAGTCCGCAACAGCCCAAACCTTAAAACACACAAAAATCGCAACAAATTCTCAATCAAACCCTAGAATTTACACACTTCAAAACCCAATTCATATTCTTCTTACAAGTTACATAGATTCATGAAATCTTATGAAATAACAACCTGTTTGAGTTCCTGGCGAGAAAGCTTTGACATCGCGAAGAACTTTGTAGCATCGTTACCGGAAACACGACCGTCGCCATCTGAAATTTGTATCCAAGCAAAACGAAATCAGAACAGAATCAGAATAGTTACGGCGGAGTAGCGAATTCAATATGAAAAGGGGAAAACAAAAAACACAGAACCTGAATCGGCGATGGTGAACCATTCCTTGTAGATCTTCTGATGCTCTTTCAAACAAGAACCGATCGAAATCGCCGACGACGTCTCCATTACAGAGATTAAGAAGAGAGAAGAGAGAAGAGAGAGAGAGAATGGTTTATGAAATTTGAAATTGAAACTGAATAGTTAAGAGAGAGAGCGTAGATAGAAGGAGATATATTTTTCCAAATAGGGTTAACGGGCTTGGCGCTTGTCGAAGGGTGATAACTAACGACATCGTTTGTGTATATAATCTGTCGACACGCGGTGTGTCTATGAAACTTTAAAACCACGTGAAGTTGACTCAAAGTTCCAAAGAGCAAACACCATTACGACGTCAGATTTGGTCAATCTTTTTAATGGCCCGACACGCTGTGTGTCTCATTAAATCTAAAAACGGCGTGAACTTGGAATTAACGGCTAAAATCAGATTTTGTTGCACGCAATAAAACGGCTATGATTTGATATCATTAAATTTGAAAACTTGAATAAAGGTGCCACAATCTACCAAAATTCCAGCTTTGCTGATTTAATTGATATAAAGTTTTCTTTTTCATCCTCTGTTGCAACGTTACCAAGATTTAACAACGTCCAATAATGTTGTTTTTTAATTTTCATATCAATTGAAGTTATGCTAAGATGTTCGTTTGAAAAAAATAATTCATTGTAAAATTTCTTTTTTCACATAGTAGTATAGAGTTTGACTGGTTTAGATAGAATAGTTGTGCTTGCACAAGCATATGTTTGCATAAACAGGTTTGGTTTCTAACGCTATCAAATATTTTGAATAATTCATTTAGAGATCGTAAAAAAAAGTTAGAAGTTGAGATTTAATGTAATGATATATAGAATATTTGATGATGTATTTCTTAATTTTCTTTTACATGAATTTTTAAGCAGGTTTGAACATTAGCTTAATTTGATTTTTTTTTTGTCAACGGTTATTACTATTATTAAAAAATAAAAAAATTTCTCTTCATTTATAGTACATATGTGATTTAATAATTTTAGTAATAACGTATTGCAATACACATTTTTTAAAGTGTCAAGGAAGTAACATATTCATTTAATTCATCAATTTTCATATAACACTAATGTTAATTTTAACGCATTCAACCTATTGATATATAATTCTATATTACTTACATTCAAATAATGTTTTTGTCACATTAAAATATTTTTATCAAATTAAAAATTATATTTTTATCAAGTTTAATTATAAATTTTGGTAATTAAAATCTATATAGTATTTGTTAGATAAAAGATGAAAAATGATTTAAAACTCATTATTATATGGTACGATTTTAGTATAATATATATAATTTTATCAATATTTTATGGCATTTCGTTCTTTAAAATTTTGCAACCAAAAAAATAAAATTGTGTGCTAGAACTAATGAGATCGACACTATTTATGCCAGATTTAAAGTGAAAGTATTAGGATATGGTATATTCTCGAGTAATGCATATAGCATCATCATTAAAAGATTTGTAGGTATTTGCTAAGATGAAATTAATAGAGATTGCAAATCTCGTTTATTAGAAATGTTTATTGTAAGCAATTAAATACATATTATTAATAAGTTGCCATAATGAGTAAATTTGAATTAATCATCATACTTGGCTGATCTTACTAATATGGAATCTCGTTTTCCAAATTTTGGAAATTTATTTAGCAAAATTGAATGTTACTACGTAGTTAATATTATCAAGCATGCATAGGCATAATTTAATAGACACTATTTGGAAATTACGTAGAAGATGATAATATACAACCACACAATGGATATAGAAACAAAAATATACTCTATATCACAAATTTAATAAAAATATACTCCATACACATTCCTATAAATTCAGCTTTCACAACATGCACTATATCAAACACATTCTTTATTTTTTCTCCCAATCACTATTAACCAAAAACATAATGAGCAAATCAACTTTCAATATTTGTGTTGTTTCGATCGCTATTCTATCATTGATTTGCAATGCGAGAACAGTGCATAGCATCACATGTCCTGATGTGATGGACACTTTGATGTCGTGTATGACATATATTACCGGTACGAAAGATTCATATCCGACACCAGATTGTTGCACCAGCTTGCGTACGATTTATCATAGAATCCCAACGACGCAAGATCGTCAAGTTTTTTGTGAGTGTTTGGAAAATGATGTGAAGTCGATGAACATCGATATCGAGAAACTTATAAGTGTACCTAAACTTTGTCACGTTTCTTTGCCTGTAACCTTTGACCCAACCATTGATTGTCGCAGGTATATCTTTATATTGGTAACAGTAATATTGATTTTGTACAAATTAAACCTCAAATTTTTTAAACCTTTTGATATAAGAATTTTCTGTTTAGGGTTAATATATTTCTCGTTTAATTTTGTTTTTGCAGCGTTAAGAAGATGAAGAAATTGGAATAAGCATAGAGTTCTTTGAAGACATTTAAATGTAATTTCGAATTTTAGAATAATTAGATATGAATTTGTTTTCTTTTATAATTTTTTAAAAATTTAAACTAAATATAGCATGAAAGCTGTCTTAATTTTGAAATGACATATATGGAGCCATGGAGGGATGGCGAATATTTTTTTTTTTTTTTTGATAGATGAACTGCAAATTCAATTTTTATAAATTGGAGAGAAGTAAGAAACAAAAAAAATTCAGATTACAAGATTAATACAAAACCATATTCATACATTTAACATAGGATCGTCAAGTAGCCCAAACATGTTATTATTAAACCTCTTTTTGCACAATCTATAAACATGAGTACGTATAACTGAAAATATAAAAATTCTCAAACATTTCTATACAGACATACATGATACAAAAAAAACCTGTTATATGGCAGCCTTTGTGGAAAGGAAAGCAAGACACTCGTTTCGTTTTCATGTTATGTTCACTGCCAAAAACCAAAACATATGAAGAAAAGTTTTTGGTTTATGTCTAAACAAGAGAAGGTAAAGTAGATGAAATGAGAAAAGGGATTAAGAGATTACCGATTGTCTTTTTGAGAAGCCATAGAAGAAGAGCAAGCTCGATGCTGAAGATCATACGCAACCATGTTTTATCCACCAAGAATCCATAAACTGTGATCCCGGCTCTGTTATTCTCTAGATAGGTCACTACATATATCCAATAAAGAAACCGAATTAGCTAAAAACGGTGAACAAGATTTGTTCAAATCATGGTCTAATTACCTAGAGCTTGACGTTTTTGAGAACAAATGGCGCGGGCATAGATTGGATGTATATGAAGATCATCATGATCTCCTTCTCCTTCTTCATCATCATCAGACGATTGAATAACATTACGACGACGCGATAAAATCTGAGAATGTTGTATACTCGTTGGACATTTTGGAGTCTCTCCGTCATAAAGAACATCAAATGTCTCTAAAGCCGCGCAAACGTTCCACTTTGTAGCAATGCTCGTTACAGATTGAGCTTTGTGAGTCATCTGCGTTGCACTTCTCAAGCATATGAACAGCCCTGATACCAAACTTATGGAACACAACTGTAAAAAACAAAGACACTAATCAACACACTGTTTCCAAAGTTTCACCATTGCCATCAATAATGACAAGAACAAGAATAAACATTTCGAGTCATCCATACCGCGAGCTCGCCAACTTCGTAGATATTGAAGGGAACACTAGCTCTAATAGTAGTAAGCAACGCCATGAACTGAGTAGCAGTAACGAAAAACAACGACAAAACAATAAACCGCCTGAACCGATGACTAACAATCTTCAGCTCACGCCTGATTTTAAGATGCTCCGCGAGTACAGAGCTAAAATCACTAATCTCCGAGGCGAAGCAGCGCGCGAATTCATCGAGGCGAAGGACCTGAAGGTGGCAGATGTTTTGGTAGAGGATACAAGCAATGATGAAGAGCGATGTACGGTAAAGCCAAGACGAGAGCTGGAGTGTACAAGCTAAGACATGGCTCAACATTGGGTTTATAATATAAGGTATTTGATTAAACCCTGAAGCATACCACCAGATACGATATATAGCTTGAAGCGTTAGAGATGGGAGAACGAACATAGCCAATAGCTTCATTGATCTCTGAAAATGGCACAGTTCCACTAATTACTAACCTTAATCCCAAAATTAGCGATTTCTAATTAGCAGATACGTTTTTTGATTTACCTGGATTTCAGATTCGTATCCGATTTTAACTTTGTCGCTAACATCTTTGAGTTTATCGAAGAAGAGGAATCTTCGGATTCCGTATTTTTTGGACCAATCGGAGAGACTGACGAATGAGATTCCGGCGAAGATCGATAAGGAGAGCTGGACTAAACCGTCGTAAGGACGGCGGTGTTTGAAATCGCAATCGGAGCAGAGTAGAACGAAGTGTGAGATCATTGGGACGATGACGGCGAGGAGGAAGAAGGTGGACCATGAGAGCAGAGTTTTAACGCGATTTGATTGGTCGAACCAGAGAAGTAGTTTAGGGAATGAGAGCTTCGTGGTGGTGGTGGTGGCTGGTGATGATGATTCCGGTGGTTTTTGGATCGGGTCGGGTCGGGTTGAGGAGTTTTGGGTTGATGATGATTCTTCCATGATGGATCCGGAGGGTAGTTTCGGGATTTTGAGATAGTTTGAAGAGGTTTGGAGGGGAAAGCTAAAATAAATAAGGCGCTTTGGATTTTGTAAGCCACGTGTACAACAGTGGTACAGTACAAGACAACATTTATATTTTTTTAAAATACAATATTATTAGGGTTATTATTTTAATAAATTTAAAATTATATTTTGAATAAATTGATTGACACTGATTTTTTTAAATCTAAAGATATTACTGTGAAGCTGAATATATGGAAATATCAAATATGGAATGAATATGGTAGAGTGATACGAAATTTAGTTTTGGTGTTATCGTTTAATAATTTTGCCAAAAAAAAAACTGTAAATCCAATTATATATATATAGTCAAATCTATTTTTTTTTGGTTAAAATTATATAGTCAATTTAGTTTGATTTTTTCTGAATATTGGTTAGGTTGATTTGGAATAAACACATAGTTTTTTTTAATAGATGTAATAGTAGTGAAAGTTAAAATGTTTTTTGATGTCATGGTTTCCACTAAAATCATGATTATATAATATGTTTCAAGAAGGAAAAAAATTGTTGAATGTTTATATTTCCTCTAAGTAGCTATATTTTTGTTTTCTTTCTTGTGCAACAAATTTTATATTCAAGACGGGATCTAAACTTAGATGAGATCAACCACTTGATTAATGATGTATCGATATCTCAGTCGCAAAGATATTATATTCTTCGAAAATGGCATATGATGATATTTATATAATTTGGATTGTAATGTTGTAATGTCTCTCACGTTTGACTCTCTGCGCCATGTGTCCTTCACTTAGAAGTGAAATGGTTAGAAGACAAAAACCAAAACTATGCCACATATCGTCAAAACTGGTTTGAATGATTGATTTTGCTATATGTTATATTATTTTTAAGGAAATCTAATAAGTTTCTGTGTTGACATTTCAGTTTCATTATAGACAGACAAAAACACGTCTCCACTTTTATGTAAACTTCCACCAGCACATGGACTTGTTTTTACGATAGCTCTCATGACTTAAAAAAATTCGAAGAATGTTGTTTTTTCTTGTTTTTATTATATTACCGGATTAAATGCTTTAAATATAGCGGTCAATGTTTATAGCTGGCGCACAAAATGGAGATAGAGAAACCAAAATAAACAAATATATTAAATTTAACAAAAAGAAGAATACTAAAGATAAAAAACTAAACATACATATCTAATTTTTTTTTATAAAACTTCTCGAATTGCATAATATATGAACAATAACATGGGATTTTGTTGGAGAAATTAGGTATTTGTTGTTGTTGGGCTTTTCCTTTTATTTTTCCAATTTTGTGATTAATTTTTATTTTTTTTTCAGTATCAAGCTATATATATATATACATATATACATATATATATATATATATTCGATATAACTTAATTCCATAAAAATTTGGCCAGTTATTAGGTTTTGGTATTTGGCTTTGGCCGTCGTCCTTTACAACATCTGTGATCATCTATGTAAACTCAACTTTTATTTGATTATAGGGTTTCCTAACTGTGTGATCTCTATCTATTTTCTCTTCATTGAATCGTAACTAAAAATAATTCTTTTTTTCCTTTTTTTTTTCGGTGATGTTTCAGTGTACAATGAAAAATATAAGCGAGCTGCCTGACGATTTATTGCTGAAGATTTTGTCATTCATCCCGACAAAAGATGTTATGACTACAAGTGTTTTGTCAAAACGATTTTGGTATCTTTGGAATCAGTGGAGACTTTATGTTGTCGAGTATGTAAAGATTTGTCGTAATTGCTCTCCAAACTGGATGGTTTTTATATCTGTATTCTCCAGACTCGATCCTTCCTCTCCACGGAGATTGGATATATTACTGAAGAGACTCAAATCTGCTTCGTGTATTGACTGCAATCTAAGAATTCAAGCACCCAAAAAATTGACTAGTATTTTCGTCTTAGATCGTGGACTCCCAAAGCACCACCAACACTATGCTATTATATGGACGAAGTTGGAAGAGAAACAAGAGATGAAGATTGAGTCAGTTTGCTTGCGAGCTACTACCTTATCTTATTGCCTTTCACTTATCTGAGAGTGTTACTACTTTTTTTGGTTTTTTTTATTAGTATCTAATTAACTCTAGTTCTTCCATTTTTTAAGTTTTGCCAATTTTATTCTTGTGATTTGATATGAATTAATAAGGGTTACAAGGCTAATTTGACATTCAACTACAAATCCCTTTAATGAGGTTTTTCTTCCATTGGTCAATTACGCATATTTTACATGGAAGAGCTTAATGATCTCAGATTAAGCATTGATTAATGGATCATGGTTAGTACGATTGCTTGTTGTTTCCAGAGTTGTTTTGCTTGATCTTAGCTCTTTCTCTCTCACTTTGGGTTTAAATTTACGTTTTTCCTTGTGTTGTTTATTTAAATCCTTGTTATGATCATTCATCATCTCTATGATTTTCTTTCGTATGCAGTTTGAATTCATTAGGTTTTTTTTCTTATGCCTGGTAGCCAATATGGCTAATCTCACTAGCCAAAAAAATCTACGTAAGGTATGCACGACCGAGATTTTCGATATGGACAGAGCAAGGAAGTGAAAGTATTCAAATATTTCAACAATATTCTCCTTGAGTGCCTCAATAGATAGCGTGATCTCAATCAACATCTTGAATCTCCGGACACAATGAATCATGCATTGTATACGTATAGTTTATACATTACATGCATACATACACATAGACATTCGCATTCACATGATGCATCTTTGATTATTTGTAGGTGATGTATATAGAAAGGTCATTAGTGTCTTTGTATTTACCCTAAAAACCTTTGTACATTCTCTATATATATCTTATTAACTTTGTTTCCTTTTCTGCTTCTATTATACTAACTTCATTGTTTGTCTGTTTTTGCTTATTTGATTCTCTGCAGCTCTGATTAGTGTATTGCTTGTTTCTTTGCTTCTTTTTTATTCCTCTCCTTAGTGTATTATGCTTCTTTTAGTCTTCTGGTTAATGCATTGCATGGTGTGTTTTCCTTTGTTTAGTGCTTCCTTGCTATTGTGCTTCTTTGATTCTTCTGTTTAGTACATTTTTTTGTGTTTCTTTGGCTCAACTTGTTTGTTTACTTATTTGGTTCTTCTTTTGTTTAGTACATTGCTTGTTTCTTTGCTATTTTGTATCGTTTGTCTATTTACTACTCACAACTCACAAGCCACTCACAACCTAACTAGCATAGTAGCATTCTAAGATGATTATTCAATCTAGTTTTGGTAACTTATTGCGAAGCAAACATTTGTTTTTGGTTTACATTGCGATATTAACTTGCATTAAACACGGTTATCTCTTATCTGTTATAATTTACCTTTTTTTTTGTTCGTTTAAAATAATTTAAGCAGCTGAAACTAAAAAGCTTTTGTATGATAAATTTTGTATTATATATGTTTGTATTATTCAATGATGACTCTTATGTACAAACAATTATTTGTTTTATATGAACTAAAATGAGATTTAATTTGACCATCTTTTATCTACTTAATTTTTCAATTTTATATTTTAATGACATCCCAACAATTACAAAGACACAAACTAATTAGACTAATCAAACCACCTAATTTCGTCAACAAACACAATTTACGAGTGCTTTATACGCATTAAGGGAACAGTGGTGAAAAAACGAATATTCTTCATGGATACCTTTTAAGATTCCCTCAAAACCATGTAATGAATCTTCTCGACTCTTCTCTCCATCCCCATCCGAAAGCTCTCTCTTTCGTTTTCGTCTTTTTGGCGCTCAACAACAATACCATCATCATGACGTTGGAGAGTTACGCCGGCGATGTTCACACCGTACCACAGTCGGAAAACTCTACGGAGGAAAGAGGCGGCGGTGAGCTTTTCGTGCCACCTCTTAACTTCGCTATGGTCGATAATGGAATTTTCCGTTCTGGTTTCCCTGAACCAGTCAGTTTCAGCTTTCTCCAATCTCTACGACTCCGATCCATCATGTAATTTTATTTATTTTCACTCAAGTTTTGATGCTTACTCTGATGATTTCGTCGTTTGACTGAGTATTGGTGGTTGGTGGTACTAGATATTTGTGCCCTGAGGCATATCCAGAGGTGAATAGAGAGTTTGCAAAATCAAATGGGATCCAAGTTTTTCAATTTGGAATTGAAAGATGCAAGGTGAGGATTTGATGATTATACTGATCTAGCTAATTGGTTTATTCCCTCATGTAGTTGAAGCTTTGAATCTCCTGTTCTTTAGTGGCATTGTTAATGGAATGATGAGTCTTTCTGAATCTTATAAAGGATGAAACTTTATAAGAAGATCATTTCAATATACCTTATTCGAGGTTGTGTTTAATCTTCTTGTTTAGTTGCATGTAATGAGATACATAAGAGCTATGCAAAGATATGATGGATGATGAATAACATAATCTTGTTTGTGCTTGAGACTGATAAAAATTTGATGGTTCTCTCTGTTTTTTCAGGAACCCTTTGTTAATATCCCTGATGAGGTTATCAGAGAAGCATTACAAGTACTTCTAGGTACTAACCATCTATTGCCTAGTCTCTTTAAAACATCTTATTCATGGCGTTTTGATCATCTAATCATATGAGTTCGTCGTTGCCTTTTTTACCAGATACTAAGAACCATCCTGTCTTAATACATTGCAAAAGTGGCAAGGTAAACTGAGACATCTCTTCTCTGTTTAGCTATATGAAATCTCGAAAGGATCTTCTTACATATCTTGTGTCTCTTGGTTGCAGCATCGAACAGGGTGTTTAGTAGGTTGTGTAAGGAAGATACAGAGATGGTGTTTGTCCTCTATCTTCGATGAGTACCAGAGATTCGCAGCTGCTAAAGCTAGGATCTCAGACCAGAGATTCATGGAGCTCTTTGACATCTCCAATCTAAAGCATTCACCACTCTCCTTCTCTTGTTCCAAGAGGCATACTCATAATGATTACTAACAACTTTACCTGTTTAATGGTCTTAAACAACTTAAGTAGTTCTTTTTTAGCAAGTAAATGAAAAAGTGTGAGACTTTGTATCATACAAAAAGAGAAAATAAAACCTTTTATTCAAATTTAAATAATTTTAAAATTATAGGGGTTTCTTTCTCCTTATAAATGCTATCATGTAGAACAAGTATGTCATAAAATTCTTGTATTCAACTTAAATACTCTTTACTATGCAAGTGTGTTAGGCAAAATTCCAAATTTACAGATTAGCATGCCAAATTAATATGTTAGTTGAAGATTTTGAAATTTAAAAGCCAAATTAATGTGTTGGTAGAAGATTTTGAAATTTCCAAATTAACGTTTACTAAATCAATGTGTTTTTGGGTAAATTATGTGTTTAATTCAATTTTAAAGAGATGATAATATAATAATTAATGCAATCGTAATTAAGAAGTAACTGAAGAAAAAAGAAAAGCTTTAAAACCCTGCGGGACACGAAGACCGAAACAATCGCTTCTCTCTCTCTTGCTCTATTGGTATGTTCTTTCAATGGCGGAGGTGTTCTTCAGAATCCATTCTTATTTATTTTTCTCTTGATACTCTTCTTCTTCTTCTAAAACCTCTGTAAACTGAGTCTATGATGAGTCAACTCGGTGTCGAAACGAGTCACTCCCAGCCAGAGACGCCTCAGTCAACGACATTTCTTGATTTGCTACGACTTCAAATGGACGGACTCGATCGAACTAGGAGAAGGAAACGAAGCCTTAAGGAACGGTTAGGATTCAAACGAATCGGATGCTGTGGTCCAACATGGGGTCTCCGGTTAACTAGTAATACTCGCGAAGACGACGAACCGTTCGAAAACCGGGTTGTTTCCGGTTCAAATCATGGACCGGTTCAAGGTATGAATCTCGCGACGGCGTTAGCAGCGGAGAGAAATTACCGAACGGAGGAAACAGTAACGCCGCCATCAGGGAGTTTGACGCCGTTAAGAGTTTCGTTAATGAGGCTATTAGAAGAAACGGCGGAGAGAGTCGTCGTCGAAGGGAATGAAACGTTAACGGCGTCGTCGTCGTCGACGGTTAGAGGTGTTGGTAATGATTCGGTGTGCTGCGTGTGCATGGGAAGGAAGAAAGGAGCAGCGTTTATCCCATGTGGACACACTTTTTGCAGAGTGTGTTCTCGAGAGATGTGGCTTAATCGAGGTTCGTGTCCCCTTTGTAACCGTCCGATCATCGAGATCCTCGACATTTATTGATTATTCTATCCTACGGCTTATAATACCCCCGTTGCACGTGACTTCAGTGTTGGCCTAGAGATTCACGAGTTGTAATACATATGAAAAAATTTAATTACTGGGACTCTGTCTATGTTTTCGCTTATAAATCCTAGATTTTATTTTTATCGAGGATCCTGAATACAGGCCCATTAAGGGATTTTATTGGGTTGATTAAGGCCCATTGACTGCGACTCGGGAACGGTTGTTTTATTTAGCATTCGAGCTAAATCTTGACCGTCCACTAAACCTAACCAACGGTCGAAGAACACAAAACTAGAACAGCTAAAAACGCATGGTACACGTCCGAAGGTTCTAGATTCAACATGCCATTTGCATGGCGTTACTCTCGTAGATGAGAAATTGTCTCCCCCACACATATAGTGCGACCAAACTAGAAATTAACATCAAATCTTTTTAAAATTTCTATGAAAAGAAAAAAAATGTTCCACAAAAAATTATAAAGTCGGCAATTTTAGGTCAATAAACCCGAAAATAATCCTCGCATCACACGATGCCATGTCGATTCTCAAACGATGATCTTTAACCATCCACGTGTCAACATCGTTGTTTTACTAAGCAAATACCTATTATAACCCTTGTGTCTTGATGTGTATTGTATCACAAAGATATTATGAGAGAAGGGTATATACGTCAATTACTAACCAGCTCAACGGTTATAAAATGCCACTTTGTAATTTCCTAATTTGTGAGGTTTGAGTTTGTTTGTGAAGAAAAGCAAAAATGGCGACAGTACCATTGTTCAGCCAATTCTCCTGCAAAACCCTAATTCCAAGCTCATCAAACGCTAAACCACAGTCCAAAGCTCCGATTCAAGTCCCGGTACACTCAATCAATCGGCGATCGGAACTTGGGATCTCTGTTCACCGGCCGGATTTCAAAGTCCGAGCCACGGATATCGATGACGAATGGGGCCAAGACGGGGTGGAGAGAGTAATCGCTTCATCGTCGCCAGTATCTGTGGCGGAGAAAGAAGCAGATGATGCAATCGAATCCGTGGAGGAGACGGAGAGGCTTAAGAGATCGCTAGTGGATTCGTTGTACGGAACAGATCGAGGTTTGAACGCGTCGAGCGATACGAGAGCTGAGATCAGTGAGCTTATTACGCAGCTCGAGTCTAAGAACCCTACTCCAGCTCCTAACGAAGCTCTGTTTCTCCTCAACGGCAAATGGATTCTCGCGTAAGTTCACAATTCTTATGCTTTCTGAATATTTTGGCTTCATCTATTGTGATATATGGATTTGGATTAAATCTGTGTGTGGGTAAGATTAGGATATTGTTACATAACGTTCAAGAATTTGTTAGTTAGCTGTTGTGTAGTGTTTTATTGGTATGAATCAAGAACTTATTTATTGATGGCGTTGTTCGTGCAGCTACACATCGTTCGTTGGTCTGTTCCCATTGCTCTCACGCAGAATCGAACCTTTGGTTAAAGTAGATGAGATCTCACAAACCATTGATTCGGATAGCTTCGCCGTTCAAAACTCTGTTCGGTTTGCTGGTCCGTTTTCAACAACATCGTTTAGCACCAACGCTAAGTTCGAAGTCCGAAGTCCTAAACGTGTTCAGGTTAATATCAACCATCACCTAAAACTTTGCAAATGTCAAAACTTTTACATAAACCTAATTGTTTTTTGTCTTGTTTGTTGTAGATTAAGTTTGAGCAAGGTGTTATTGGGACTCCTCAGCTAACGGATTCGATTGAAATCCCGGAATTCGTCGAGGTTCTTGGTCAGAAAATCGATCTTAATCCCATTAAAGGATTACTTACATCGGTCCAAGACACGGCTTCATCTGTGGCTAGAACCATCTCAAGCCAACCACCGTTGAAATTCTCTCTGCCTAGCGACAACACGCAGTCATGGCTGCTCACAACTTATCTCGACAAAGACCTTCGGATTTCGAGAGGCGATGGTGGAAGCGTCTTTGTTCTCATCAAAGAAGGAAGCTCTCTCTTAAACCCTTAAAATCATCATTACTCACATCACATATATTATAACATATATAGTAGTATAGAACCATTTGTCTGTGTTTAGTAGTGTTGTAACTGTTATATAACTTCTTTACCTGTTGGAGAGTGATAATAATGTATGTTACTCTTAGAATCTTATATTCAATATATTTACATTGATACATCATACAAACTTGAACCGGACGGTTAACAGACTACACCTACACTTAGTATTGGTTTAAATTTGTATACTGTGAGGGATTGCATTCTATATGGCATTCGACTTTCTGGTTTAGATTAGTTCGAAATTTTGAGGTTTGTGAAAGACTTTTGTATCTCAGTTCTGTTTTCTGTGAACTCAAGTTTCAGTTAATTTTGGTTTATGGATGGTATACAAATCAGTCTATTTATTACTTAGAATACCTGTTTGTTACAAACCAGGTATATACTCACACACATTTGCAAGAAGCTGATCTTTGATATCTTTTAGCTACGAAACAAATCAGCACAAACCTCGTAAAAGATCTCGAGAATGGCAGACCGGTATTCGCGAGGATTCATCGATAGATAGTACTCCAAGAGGCTTCTAAGTTCATCTGCTTCTTTGATCTTGTTTGCTACAATCATCTCGACCATAGAGTCTCTGAAATCCTCTCTTGGATCATATGAAAATTTCTCCATCGCCATCATGACAATGAACTTAGTGCTACCGATGCTACCTTCGCTTCTTCTTCTTCTCACCTTCTCTTGCCTTATCTTCTCTTGACGTGTAGCTTCTTGTGTCTCTCTGATCATCTGCTCTAGCTTCTCCTGAACCATGAAGTGTGCTAGGCTAGAGAGCGAACCGTGCTGGTCTGAAAATCTAGAGCTTCTGTCTGACTCCACCGAGGAAGAAGAAGAAGAAGAAGAAGAAATGCTGAGTCTTGCTTTGTTGTTGCTGCAACACAAAGCTCTACTGCAGCTTCTTCTTGCTTCTCTTGTTTGGTGTTGTGGTTGTTTGTTGTGTTTCTTGATATCTTCCTCTGTTTCTTCTTGTGTTCTGTTTGTGATTTTCATGTTGACGATTAAGTCACACATTATAGTTGGGGTTTTGAGGATGGGGGATGTTTGTGAAAACTCAAAATAAAAAAGAGTTCTTATTTAATCATTTTATGTGAAAACTGAAACTGTGGGTCATGTTCATCATGATTATGTCTTGATGTTAATTAATTTACTTTAAATTAAACAAAAGAGATTCTTTTTAGATTTTTAGACTAACAACAACAAGTGTTTAATGTTCTTCATTTGTGTAGAACTTATCTTTATTTATATCTTTTTTAGTCCATTTTTTTTATATATCTTTAAAATTAATATATTTACGATTTGTGTATTTGTGTTCATAACGCAATGCAAAGTTGTAGTCTATACGATGCAGATATATTTTCGAAGTCAGGGGATTTTAGATTAAAGTTTACTCTAATATTTGAACTTTATATTTTTTATATAAAATCAAAGAAAAGAAATTTAAGTGATGGATAGAGGTTTATTGAAAAGAAACTATTTTCTTGAAAAGAAAATGAACACAAATATACAAATCGTAAATATTAAATTTTAAAGATATATAAAAAATGAACTAAATGCATGTATTTGTACATATATTATATATATAAAAATACAATAAAAAGTTGGGAATAATAGAGAAGATTAGATAAGGTATGATTGAGGATAATTGGAAAAAAAAAATATTAAGAAAGGAGAACTAAATGCATGTATTTGTGTTGTGTTTTAGAAATATAGGGGTGATTAATTTGATTATGATGTGATGTAGACCATATTCATGTCTACTTTAGTTTTGTTGTTGTTGTTGAATATTAGATATCTAAACTTTATTTTCTAAAGTTTTTGGTTAATGTGGAGAAAAGTGATCTCATGTATGTAATACTTACCTAATCTAACACAATTACTAGAGATATAACCCAAATAATCATTTACCCCCAAAAAAATATATACTAGAAAAGTAAAAAAGAAGAAGATGAACCAGATATTAGATTTTAAACAGTTCAGAATTGTAATGTGCCAAACATGATTTTGCTAAAGATAGTAAAAGATTGGCTAAAAATATACATGAGAAAATGAAGTGATAACGTATGGTTGTTGCCTTGGAGACAAGACATGCTTTAATCTTGCTGGCTTGTACATATAGACCTCTTTTTTTCTGCTTTGAGGTTTTTAGAGATTTTATAATCTAGCCTTTTTTAATTGGTAGAAAACATACCAAAAAAAAAAAAAAGGTTCCACATTTATTTATAAAATATACATTGAGAACAGTTGGTGTTGAAGCTGTAAAAAAAGGGAAATAAAAAAATTGGACTCAAACCATTATTAAAACCAAAATTATATCAAAACTAATCCGATTTAAACTAATATATATATATATATATATATATATATATATATATATTAATTAGAGCCAAAATAACAGATTTAAGCAGTTTTACTCAAAAATCTGGTTCGGTATCTATTGCCGAAACAGAGAACTGAACCGATTATTTATTCAGTTAATTTCAATGGTATTGTTTGATAACCGAATAAACCGGCCCTGTTCGGATTCGATTAACCAAACTCACATGCCTACAAAATAAGAATACATTCAGTAGAACTTGAGGTGATAAAATATAAAAATTTACGATAACCTAGTTTGTAGTTTAGTAAACGGTATAAATTATTTATATTGGAGCTTAATGTCTTTAACAACAAGTTATCTCTTGTGTTTTATTGAAAAAAAAGAGTAAGCAATAATTGGAGATTACACAGCTGGATAGAATCACTTTGTGGTAATGATTTTACTACGTCTTTGTAGGTTTTAGAATTGAGTCTTTTCGAGATTTTGTCATGTGACAATATCCATATGATCACTTTTCATTTTGATTATAAGTTTGTTAAACTCAAAAGAACAACTTTGAGAATGAGAGAGGTAATTAAATAATTGATTAGTTGATCTAAATACAGTCAGTAAGTACCTTAATACCAACTTGTTAAACTGACAGTTAAACCCACATGTTGCCATTATGGTCCATACTTTCTAGGGTTTATGATTATCTATTACACATATTCGTTATCATTTTTATTCTATTAACTAATAAATTTTATAATCACGTTTCGGTATAGTCGATGAGGATGAAGGTGATATTGCGTGCTCACAAAGTATGAGACTATTGAACCCGATTCAACCAAAGCAGATAAAAACAACATATTAAAAACAACATATCAATTATACTCTGATTCCAATTAAAGTAACTAAAGAACTTTAATTATGTAGAAAGAATTACTCTAATGTATCTAATTAAATAATCCAAAGCTGTAAATGTTTTACATATAATTATCATAACTCAACAATTATATTTATAGTGTTAGTACAACTTTGCTAATCCTATTGCTTAGTAGATGGTAGAAATTAATTATGTCAGCGCTTAATGTCTTTGACAAGTTATCTCGTGTGTTAACAAAAGAGCTAGCAATAACTAGAAAGCTAATTGCAAGTATAGTAAAATCTCTATAAATTAATACTTTATAAGTTAATAAATATTATAAATTAATAAATTTTGTTGGTTTCAAGTCAGGTCAGTGTAAAAACTACCAAATTTGATAAGATAATACGATGATAATTTTTTTGAACTTCCCATGTAAAATATAGTTCCAATAATATTGTAACTTAATAATCACTATATATATGTACATAAATATAAACAGATATAATATATATATTTTTAGTTTTTTTGTAAAAATAAATTTCTCCTAGGTTCACCTCAATAAATAATTTTATTTCTGTTTATTTTTAAACAATAATCTTGTAATATATACCATCAAAAATTCACAAGGCATAAAAAATTAAAAAAATACCATAAGTCATAAAAAAATAACCAAATATAACAGTTGAGGTTATTAATATACATTTAAATTTATATACAACCTTTGTATAAGTGAATTTATCTATAATATTTGTAGTTTGTAGTCAAATTTCTTTTTTTCTAAATATAATATTCATTTTTAAACTACCGTATAATTTATAATATCTAAAAAATTAGTCTTATTTTTGTAAAATTGTGTCAATTCATAATAATTTTTTTTGAAAAATTAAAAATACCATTAAAAATTAATAATTATTAAATTACACTATAAATTAATAAAATTTAAGTGGTCCCAACATTATTAATTTACAGAGGTTTTATTAGAAATATAGGGGTGATTAATTTGATTATGATGTGAATAATGTGATGTAGACAATCTTCATGTCTATTTAGTTTTGTTGTTGAAGATGAGATATCTAAACTAATCTACATGTGTTCCAAAAAAAAAAAAAAATCTAATCTATCGAAATTTGAAAAAAGTGATCTCAAATATAAAGCATGAGCATGTCCCTTCTTCCACTACATGTGTCCAAATTTAGTGTTATGTATTTATTTATTGTTTTATTTACTTTGTGTGTAATCCTAGTATATAGCAGGCAATGCGGCATATTTAAGTGGTAAGAATTGTACTTAGTAGTAATAAAAAAATGAGGTTATCTATATTGAGATAGCCTAGTATTGCTTATTCATAGTTGTACGTAATTTTTGTACAAAGTGAGTAAATTAGAAATCGAAATCAAATGATAGTTATAAACTATATAAATGAAATCGGGATCTACGGACGTATTAACCATGAGTAGTATTAGCATTTAAAAGATAGATTACTCACTTAATATTTCAGCCGGTTTGGAGGTATAAAAAGTATGAATTTTTTTCATCAAAATATATCAAATAATGTATATCTTCACAAACGAATTCTACATCATATGGTACAACTCTAAAAGTAATTTTTACATCCTCAAATATCATATTTTATTAGTTCAATATTTCACGGTTTTAGTTGGATTGTACACTACTAATATCATCTACCGGTTAGAGTTACATGACATGTTCATTCAAAAATTACTAAACGAAAAGCAATCCCTTAACCTCTTTTCTTGGCAACCATCAAATCATTCCATGTATTTCCGTAAATAATTTAATGTTAACCGCAGCCAAGCCAACAAAGCCTAGGGTCAATACAATTGTTTCTGTTAACCTAAAAGAATTAAAGCCTTGTATACATAAAACCAATATATCAACAAAATTTTAAATCAACCATCACTAAGAAATTGACACATAAAACTAAGAGCACTTACAC